ATATAGCCATAAATACTTTTAGGAATGAATTCAAATCATAAAAGAGTCATGAATCTTTTTCCATTAAAGGTGCAAACTAAGAGAGAACACTTCCTGATAGTAAAGCGCCTATAAATCCAACTTAGGTAAATCCATCAAGATATTGGAAAGGCTTCAATCTTAGATAGAGCTTGTCTTGTTGCAAAAATCCTCAAAATTTTGATCTTGTTCCATCAAACTTCTCAAGGATACTAATCTTTATTCCTATCATACTTGTAGAAGCAAAACTCCCTGGATTTGGTTGTGACGTTGATCTACTTGCTTCTTTCAACTGCACAACTTCTTGTTGCAGACTCTGAACTTCTTCTATAGGCATAGGCATAGTACTTTCATGATTCATGTTGGAAATATGTGAGATTTCTACTCTTAGAGTGTTGGCAAGCTCATAAAGATTTGCCATAGTTGCAAATCTATTCTCACTTCCGTTGAGAGTAGCATCCATAATCTTTCTTTCCATAGACAACTCAAACGAATTCAAAAATTAAATTAGAGGAGGGTAATGTGCAACCTCTAAAAACAAATCCCACAAAGAGGGATAATCCACTTTCTTTAAGGAAAAAAATAGTGTTAAAAAACAAGATTTTTTGTTTGAAGGTGAATAGTCCGCAATCTTCAAAAAACAACAATAGAAGTGGGATAATCCACTCACTTTTAAAACAAGACAGAAATAATATGTTAGCACTCTTGTCAAACTGTCAAGGACATAAATCTGGAAGAAAGAGAATCCTCAATACTTTCTTCTATCACTGAAGAGAACTAGAAAGTCACTCAAAAAGTGATGGAATATTAACTAGAATGGCTATTGCCAAAAAACAAGAAGACTAGAAAGTCTTGAAACAAGACTAAGACTAGAAAGACGTTGACAAGAGTCAAGAAGGCTTCACTCTTGTCTCTATATATATTATCTAACTAAGAGCTACTTGGCAATGTCTTATAGGACCTCCAACATGTGTTGACTTTGCTAGCAACATATCTTATCTTGTAAGGTAAGTTATCTATGTATGCACCACATAGTTGGCTTCTTTGACAAGCTACTATACGGAGATAACTTGTTCCAGAAGCTACTAATACATGCTTATATTTTTGGCCAAGTTTCTAACCTACAAACATATCTAAAGTCAAAACCGTATCTATAAAGCTTCTAAGAAGCTTCTTTAGAAGACTTTATGAAATTATTCTATATTTACTTACTTCTACTTAATCATATAAGTAACTATTGAAGTAAATGTATATGTCCGTGACATAGGCAAAGGCCTTCCAAGATTCATAACCTAATTTCAGACTATTTATCACCAATTTGGTCAAGAGGGCTTGTACTTGAAGACTTGGATCAAATATCTTTACTCTTCCTAAGTTTGTGAATTGAATCAAGGTAGACCAATTAATCTTAGCTCTAGTAGTACTTCATATCTTTACTACCTAGATATAATTGTGGATTAGAACTCTTGTTTATTTAAATATTACCTTAGATATAGTTGAGCAGGAGCAAATATATCATATGATTGCTAGGATTGCTTAATTTATTGTAATGATTCTACTTGTTAGGAAGAGTCCTTCATTCTACCATGTATTGAGTCCACTAATTAATCTTTGCATGACCTTATTTGTTGTGTCTTTTGTACGTAACATGAATCCTATTAAGAATCCCAAATATCTCGTAAAAGATCCTTGTCGAAGCTAACTCAAACATGGATTCCTTGTCCATTGGTATATTTTATATTGAGGTGAGACCTATATACTTATAGATTTCATCTAGTTAATTTTAGCACCACTAGCCTTACAGTAAGTTATTAGTATCTTCATGGATGTATCGAAGTTGTCTTCATTTCTTTAGATATAGAATGTTGAGTCATCCGCATACATTTGATTGATAGTAAAGCACCCATCTGGGAGTTTGAGCCCAACCAAGGATCTATTGGGATCGTCTAACATATGTCCCAAAATATCCCTAGTAATTAGATAAAGATATGGATTCAGTAGACAATCCTACTTCAATGACCTTTGAAGAGAAACTTTTCTTTAGGGATGCCATTGAGCTTAATTTGAGCAGAGACCTCTTTACATAATGACATAATGAGATCCACCCAATCTTGAGGAAATCCCATGTGTAGCATTGCCTGTTGGAAGAAAGTCTTGCTTACCTTATCATATGCTTTTTCAAAATTTAACAAGAGAATTATCAAGGTTTGTTGACTTTCTATGCATCGTCCAGGACAAATGTTGTTTGGGAGCTTTGTATCCAAGTATGTAAGAATTCGATTATTCTATTATCCAAGATCTTTGCTATAATTTTGTATACTGCTCCAAGGATTGACACGGAGGGAATTTTTTTTGAGAAATGTAAGTTCGCCTCCCTTTGATACCAAAGAAATCTTGCTAGTGTTTAAGGAACGGCAGATTGTTTTAGTAGAGAAGACCTCCTCAACTAGGCTAAGAAGATCCGAGCCTGTTTCATCTATAAAAGCTTAAAAAAAGTTCATGGGAACTTCATCTATACCAGGTGCTTTGCCAGGGGGGAGTTCTTTAATCGCATCAACTACTTCCTGCAATATGGGTGGTTTCAATAGTTCCCGACCTTGTTCCAATGTTACACAGTGAGGTACACTTGTGAAACAGTCCTGCCGAGCTTGATCGTTGGCTTCTACCAGATCATCTCCTGAGTAGAGTCTCCTACAGTATGCATCCACATATGTTTGCATTTCTTCTAAATCTGTTAGAACCCTGCCGTGATCCACTAATTCTCGGATGAAAGAGGGTTTCTTGAGCCCGTGGTAGTGTTCTAAAAAATTCTCTATTACACCTGTCACCAATGCGCGTCCATTCAGACATGTTACGATCATGTTTTGCCTCTAGTTGCTGCTGACGAATGAGATGTAGCGCTAGCTGCGCTTCGTTTAGTTGGTCCCTAGCCGACTGGTTGTTCCAGTCTGCCTGTAATGCTAATTCAGCCTCAAAAATGGGTGCAAATTGTGCTGGATACGTTTCCTTCTTTTGTGCTCTGTGAGCGGCAAGTTTCTGGTCACTATATAATTTAATAGTTTTAAGGCTATCTGCGAATCTAGCATTCCAAGAACGGTTGTTGTTTTCTCCCATTGCTTTGCGCCACTCCTCTGTCAACAAAAGTCTTTCTGCCTCATCAGTAAGTAAGGCTCGATGGAATGCAGGTGGTCGTTTACGGTTCTGTTTTCGGGGTTGAATGCGAACTTAGACAGGAGCGTGGTCAGACACTTGTGCTAACGTTGGCCATATCGCAGTCTGACCTCCCATCTGGATTAATCGTTGGCTTAGGTATATGCGATTGAGTCTAGAACAAATCATGTTTGGGGCGGCCCGCTGGTTGTCCCATGAGAACTTCTTAGGTGTTACTTTCCTATATTCGTCAGCTCTGAAGCAATCACAAATGCCCAAGTGAACCACCAGAGCTCCCCATGCCGTGAGTTCCCGTTGTCCTCTACCCGTACTGGCTTGTCCTCCCATTTTGTCATCCAAATCTTCGATTATATTGAAATCACCACCTAGTATCCAGTTTGCTTGCGGTAGTGGATAGTTACGAATTTTATTCCATAGCCGTGTTCTCGATCCCGTCTAGTTGTAGGCATAGATATTTATTACGCCGACTTTGATGTGTGGCGTCCACTGAAAAGTAACGTACTGTGCTCTTCCTGGAATTATTACTCCGTGTTCTTTAACCATGCTGGTGATCCTGTCCGATATAAGGAGTGCGGTTCCTCCATTGAAGCTATCGGTATTCGCATTATAAAGAGCTTCATTCCACAATGAAAGCCCCTTGCCGAATTCAAGCTGTTTTGAGTTCTTTTTACCCTTTTCTAGCGAGAGCTTATGTTCTTGGACCATAAGTGTGTCAGGTCGCGGGTGGGACTTTTGAAAGAAGTCCCGTATGTCGCGTCGTTTCCTAACGCCAATTAGGTCTCGTCCTAGACCTTGCACGTTAAACGACGCCAACGTTAATGGTTCAATCATTGGGCTTGTCCGCTTCAGGGGTAACGGACTCCCTATTCTGACAATCACCAATGTTTGACGATTCCTCAGGTGTTTCTTCCGGATTATAGCCAAGGAAGTCACCAAGTGTTTTGCCTTCTGTTTCCGATAAGGTCGATGTTTGTTGTAGTCCTCTTGATAATCGTTCTTGTATGTTCGCTGGGAAGCTCTGCCACTGCAATCCTGTAGGGTTGCGAGGAATACATATTTCCTCATTGTACTGGATGAGAGCGAGGAATGTACAATGGTCTCTGACCTCTGAATGCTGGTGCCACCAATAAAGCCAGGACACGTCCTCCCAGCATCGGATAGGATTAATGTGTTTTCTTTTTAAAACCATGTGACCTCGTAAGTTTAGTTTCGTTTGATTGACCATGTGTAATTGCCATTCCTTTTCCCCTAAACCCTGTGCGAGTGGAAATTTCTTTCCAGCCTTAACTTCATGGGTGAGCGCCTCGATTCTGCCATCCCTATTTCTGTAGAATAGTGGAATTATTGTCGACGTGGTTTGTTTGTTTGCTGTATTTCGCTCGGGTGTGAGGACTTTCCAGAAGTTGCGATGGATGGTTCGTGTGTCGTAACCATGTGCACCAGTTAAAATATGTGTAGATGCGGGTTCCTGTACTACGGTTTTCATGTTTTTGGGTTGCCATATGAATTTAGTAGTAGTTGTAACCTGTGTGGCTTGTTTATGAGATTGGGTGGGCTGGTTCTTGCCTATTCCGCTAGTGGATGTAGAAGGTGCTCTACCTCTGTTTGTGTTATGGGAAGGCTGCCTGTTTAGTCTCTGCGTGTTAGGGATTCTATGGATGGTGCATTGTTGTATCGTATGTTCAAAGGATCTACACCGACTGCACTGAGACTTTAACCCACTGTATTCCAAGGTGTATTCTATATCACTTCCTCCGTCCAGTCTGGGAATGAGTAAAGTTTTAGGTAAAGTTTTGACATTCTCCGTCAGTATGCGCACACGCGGTCCCGAGAGTTTGGTGAGGTATGTATCCTCATCATCTATATATAAGACCTCACTAAAAACCTCGAATGTTTCCCGCAAAAATTCCTGTGTTCGTAGAAATGGGGGGAGTTCACGAATTTGTGCCCAGAATCCGGTCTTCAGATGTGCTTTGTTGAGGGGTAGGTCCGCGTTGAAGTAGGGCGACCAACTATAGAAGATGATATCCCTTCCTTCCAGAGTATAGCGGAGGTCTGCTAAGGTACGTCGTCTTCCGTCCTCTTGTGTGAATTGAACTTCGAAGTATTCTTCGAACGAATCGTGAGTTGATAAAAGGATCTGAGGGTTTGCTCTTGCCCATATCGCTAGTTTCCTGGCTCCCGGTGTGCGTCCAGAAATATGGCCAAGGACCATGAACTCTGTGAGGCTGATCATCTTGTCTCTGTACGCATTAAAACGTTCTGGAGCCAGTGTACTCTTGATGAGGGGAGGTGTTTTGGGGTAGATCTGGTTCCAGTAGTGAGTCGGGTAAAATCACTGGTTCCTTGGGTTGTGTGGTTTCACGGGGATTTGGAGGTTGTAGGGGGGTATTTTCCTCTACTGTTAAAGGTGTGTTACCCTCTATTGTTTCTTCTGGGCCATGTTGATCCGGGTAGTGTGTTTGTAAATAACCATTCAGATTTGGTGCTACCTGATTGACGACTTCAGCTATTTCCTCATATTCCGATTTAGAGAATTCTAAACCTAGGTGGGGAAGAAGGGAGCTGATCCTAACACCTCTTGCACGTAAGTCGCGCGACGTACCAAGCTTCTTTACCGCGGCTGCGGCTCTCACGGGATGAGACTAGCACCCGCTTGCCAAATTCGACCCTGGTCCCACGGCAGCCCAAAACCCCCGCCCTCCTCTCCCCCCCCCCCCCTTCCATTCCCCCCACACTCAAAAGAGAGACCATTTCAGGATCTTTTGAAATTGGGGGTGTGATTTTAACAAGTCTCTCAAAAGAGTCATTTTATGTTTCAACATCATTTATTTCTATTATTATATTGTATTTTTTTGAATTGTTGAATAACATATCAAAAAGTATGTATATTTTTCTCAAAATAATTATTGGAAAACAATAATCATACTCAACTCTTTCATATCATTTAGTAATTATCAATCTATCAATCAATCAATTTACACATGTAAATAGCATTTTGATAAATATACATTTGTCGTTCAAATACGAAATAGTATAAATGAAGTCTTTTTGACTTTTTTAATTTTGATTCTATGTGATATTTTATTCCAATTATACGATTCATTTTTCAAAATTAAACAATTTCACATGTATCAGAAACTTGTCACTGAGTGAGATAAAATTTACTCGACGTGGTAAAAACGCCCTCAGATTTACTGTGACGAGTGAATTTGCGAGTCACCAGTTGAAAACTGACAACCCTGACAGGTAGATTTACCGCGTTCGACGTGGCTTCGCTTATGGCCCACCATGCTTGGAAACCAAGCTGCCTTCACCAGCGACCATCGGTCGCGATGCAGAAATTGAGTCAGCCAATAATTAGAGAATCAGCGACCAAAGGTCGGAAACTCTCGGAGAGCTTGAAAGCCTAGAAACCCTGAAGCGGGGGACGGACGTGTCGCGAGCTCGGATTGCGACGAGGTCACGACTCGGACTGAGTGGTGGCGAAGAAGACGAAGGTTCGGCTCTGTCTTCGTCCCCAATTGCACTCGCGGTGAGTGCGTGCCTTCCGCCTCAACCTGCTGGCTGCCAGCATTCCAGCGAGGTTCAATTCTTTCAAAGTGGCTCAGAAACGGTTCACTTTCGAGGAAGAATTGGAGTCAAAGTTTGAGGGCTGTGAATAGTTGTTTGTGGTGAATTAGGACCTTCGTAAGGTGGTGGTCTGTGAAGGGAGTTGCGGTGCTTTTGAACTCGGTGACGGTCCCAGGAGTCGATTCGTGTTCGGAGTAGTAAATTGATAGATCTCATCTGGTTTCGTGTTTTAGGAATTGAGAAAGTCGCAGGGAATTGGATATCGAATTTGAGAGTTGCAACAAGAGAACGTGCGCGCGAGCGTGTCTGTCTCGAGGAGAGGAACAAGAGTTGGAGTAGAAATTGGATTTAATGTCATCTCAAAGGACGGCAGCTCTGGCACGCCGGGCGCGTCGCAATATTGTAAGTCTGTGTGCTGTTGGAATGCCTCTTCGTCGTCTTGGCAACGTAGATGATGTGTAGTTTTCTCGAGAAGAAATTTCTGGTATTACAGTGATTTCAATTCTTTTGTTCGCCGACGCAGTAGTGTGCATGTTGCATTTTTCTTGTTTTTTGTTTTTGTTTTTGTTTTGTTTTGTTTCTTTTTCCGCTATTATTAGATATGTATTTCTATAATGCCCGTGATTGTACTGCTTAAATGGAAATCATCTAAGAACCACCTCTGTGTTCAGCTCTTTTGTTGCAATTATTAGTCTTTGAGGATCTTATGAAGTTGGAAGCGAATCATCGTCGCATCATATTCATACATTGTTTATTTCACAGGTTTAGGGGACACTTGTAAGATACTGTCCTCTCCTTCTTAACAGATCATCGTTTGTTAAGCATCTGACTCTAGAAATTGAAATGACTTGTAGCAGGAGGTTTTGACGTATCAGATTACTACTGGCGCTCAAGGGCAAAAAACTATCAGTAGCTTAGGGTACAGCAAGCCATTATCGTCGTCAAGTAGTCCAGGCCAAACTATATCTAGAAGATGGCTTCACACCCTTGGACTTTTAAGGCCTGGAACTGCCGATTATTTAACAGCAAGAATGACGTTTGGTACGTTTGGTACCACAAGGCGAGGCATTCATGAAATTGGTAGAAACGTCGGCAGCGACAGTGCCCGAAGAGCTTTGCTTCAGAATTATGGGGGCAAACGAACGTTTTGCTCTGAAAATCCTAGGAAGAAAGGTGAGCTGCAATATTTAGTTTAATTTTTATCTGATGCTCTACATTATTTGATTAGATTGATTAAGATTTTACTGTCATCTGCTACATGCCTGTTTTTCTGGTACTCGTTGGATGTGTTTTTTGTCGGTTATGCACAAGAGCCTCTTGCTTCAGGAGTTTCCGTTTTTTTTTTTTTTTTTTAATTTGTGTGTGTGTGTGTGGAAGAAACGTAATTTGGGAGTGACTGTCTCTGGCAGGCTTTGAGAATTTTCTTCCAAAGAATAGGAAAGATCCTCCCAAAAATCGAAATGAACAGAAGTCTGAGCAAAAGAGCGGTGAGTCTTTTCAGCGGCGGAGGGGGCAGAAGATGGATTTTCTTTCCCTCAAAGAAATATTTGTGAATAGAACAACGTAACATTCAAATTCGTAATTAGAAATTTGGATCTCAATGCAGTTGTAGCTGTCTTTACGTGTAATCTCGTGGACAGACCCATGTCATGCTGTAAGTTCGAAATTGCATGCAGAGGTTGAAGAATTACGAGGAAGTGTTTCTACTTGGTCTTATGTTTTCGCTGGCTTACTTTGCAGAGAGTCCAAAGCAAGAGGGTGATAAATTTGTAACCGATATCTCTAAGTCACGACTACAATCTTTTCTTGTCACTGGTGCTGCAACGGTGGCCATCCTTGCCACACTTTCTATGGGTCGCAGTGATGCTAAAGAGGTACTTTTTAATTTAATTTTCCCTCTATGTTATACACTATGCTGCTATTTCAGCTTATGTGAATGAATAACGAAACAGTTTTTAGAACTGAGCGACATTTGCGCAGATGCGACTTGTTGGATTTTATTTATTTATATGTTGTATATTGAGCGATATTGCATATTCTGTAAAGATAGAGTATTGTATTGACACGTATTTCTTTTGAACTTGTTTCTTTTCTCCATGTATGTATGTATGCATGTATGTGATCCACTGGGTTTGAGGTTGATAGTTAATTTGATTCTTTTTTCGTGATAATATTCAAAGCAGATCAGCTTCCAGGAATTTAAGAACAAGCTGCTGGAGCCGGGTATGGTAGATAGAATTGAAGTCACTAACAAGAGCTTTGCGAAAGTTTATGTTAAAACAGGTGGTTGCAGAGTAGCTTTTTTCTGTCTCTTTTCTTTTCTTTGTGTTTGTTTTTGGCACGCTACCCTAATTGTTGTCACAAGTTTATCTGGTTTTCTTTCACTTTTCTCTTGGTGATACAGTAATATCTTTCGCGATTACAATGTTGGACGACAATGCTGAGATTGTGTTCCGTATTCATATTACACAATTTGACAAAGTTGTTGCTTAAACAGGTTCCCAGCAGAGTTCGCAAGGTAGATTAGGTGAAGGTAATAATGACAATGGAGGATTTGAAGACTTGCGCACTGATTCAGGATCACAAGGTAGCCGCTCTGGATCAGTGTATAAGTATTATTTCAACATTGGAAGTATCGATTCATTTGAGCGTAAGCTGGAAGATGCCCAGGATGCATTAAACACAGATCCCCATGACTACATCCCTGTCACATATGTGTCTGAGCTGAGCTGGCAGCTGGAGCTTCTGCGATTGGCTCCCACGATTTTGTTAATTGCTGGGTATATTTATTTCACAAGGCGGATGCAAGGTGGAGGCTTTGGAATGGGTGGAGGTTCTGGAGGCATGGGTGGGCGTGGAATATTCAACGTGGGAAAAGCCCAAGTGACTAAGCTCAGCAAGAATCAGAAGGACAAGGTTTGTGTTTACACTGTGCAGGACTAAGCTGGCTTGCATTAGCATCTTCAAATGTTTGAAGGATTATGCTCGGCTATTACCCAGCACCATGACAGTTTTCACGCACTATAATTTCTCGTTGAAGTCATGGTGGTTGATCTTTTTTCCTATGGGCAGTCCATTTTGTCACATATCTAAGTGGTTACAGCAATGGAAATTACTTGTAACAGCTTGATTCAGAGAAGAAAAGAGGCGTTGTTCAGGTGATGTCTTATGACTCCCGGAAAATGACGGAGCTTTATTTTGTGCGTTGTGTTGCTGCAGGTGATGTTCAAAGATGTTGCTGGTTGCGACGAGGCAAAACAAGAGATCATGGAATTTGTTCACTTCTTGAAGAATCCCAAGAAATATCAAGAACTTGGGGCTAAGATCCCAAAAGGTGCTCTTTTGGTTGGTCCACCTGGTACTGGAAAAACTTTGTTGGCAAAAGCAACTGCTGGAGAAGCAGGAGTACCATTTCTTTCTATCAGTGGATCGGATTTCATGGAGATGTTTGTTGGAGTTGGACCTTCAAGAGTCCGCGATTTGTTTGCTCAAGCAAGACAGTCCAGTCCCAGTATTATTTTCATAGATGAAATTGACGCGATCGGACGTGCTCGTGGACGAGGTGGATTTGCTGGAGGGAATGACGAACGTGAGAGTACATTGAACCAGCTCCTAGTTGAGATGGATGGGTTTGGCACAACATCTGGCGTGGTAGTTCTTGCAGGAACCAACAGACCTGACATTTTAGACAATGCCTTGCTACGTCCGGGACGTTTTGATCGGCAGATTGCTATTGATCGACCTGATATCAATGGAAGAGAGCAGATTTTCAGGATATACCTTCAGAAATTGAAACTGGATCAAGATCCTGTTTATTACTCTCAACGGATGGCAGCTTTAACTCCGGGGTTTGCTGGGGCCGACATTGCAAATGTTTGTAATGAGGCTGCACTAATTTGTGCTAGAAATGAGAAAACTGAAATTACCATGGAGCATTTTGAAGCTGCAATTGATCGAATTATTGGTGGTTTGGAAAAGAAGAAGCGGGTACGTGTTATCTTGAACTCGCAATAAAAGTCTTGATTTGATATCTTAGCCTCGGTCCAAATTGCTTACACGTACTGCCTTTTCACAGTTTTTTCCATCACTTACCTGATTGCATTGCATTTGGTATATTGGCTTTCTTCAAATATGCTTATGGACATGCAGTGGCTAAGTTGTGCTTTTGATGCAACAGGTAATTAGTAAGGAAGAAAGGAGGACAGTGGCGTATCATGAAGCTGGACATGCTGTTACAGGATGGTTTCTGGAATATGCAGAGCCATTACTTAAAGTGTCAATTGTACCTCGTGGTACTGCTGCGTTAGGTTTTGCTCAATATTTACCGAACGAGAACTTGCTCATGACAAAGGAACAGCTTTTGGATATGACATGTATGACACTTGGAGGTCGTGCCGCTGAGCAGGTATACTGCGATTCTTACCAGCAATATGTGGATCTGTTTGTTCAGGAAGTCCACGAACGTATCATATTTGGCTTCGGTCTGACTGTTGTTGTTTTCGCAGTCTTGCTCAGATCTTACACATCGTTACTTCTTAATGTAAGAGTCAAGGTTTATCGGTAGTCGTAGATTTGACCGGACAATTGCTGATTCTAAGCATTGTATCCTTCATTCACGCAGGTATTGTTAGGCAAAATTTCAACAGGAGCTCAAAATGACCTGGAGAAAGTAACGAAAATGACATATGCTCAAGTCGCGGTTTATGGGTTCAGTGAAAAAGTTGGCCTTCTCTCCTTTCCACCGAAAGATGATGGACTTGAAATGTCAAAGCCCTACAGTAATGAAACAGGTGAAATCATTGACCAAGAAGTTCGAGATTGGATGGGTACAGCCTATGCTAGGACATTGGCTTTAATTACGAAGCACAAAGCGGGTGTCGAAGCTCTTGCCCTCAGGCTTTTGGAGAAAGAGGTATTGCATCAGGAGGATTTAGTAGCCATTTTGGGCCCAAGGCCTTTCCATCATTCAGAACTGTCAAATTATGACAAGTTCAAGCTTGGTTTTGAGCCTTCGAAGGAAGACCAGGCTAAGTTGGGATCATCGCAACCATCTGAAGATGGCATCCCTCCGGAACAACCGTCATCGACTCCTCCAACTCCGCCAGGTTTGGACGGGTCTCATCCTGTCCCAGTTATTTTGTGAAGTAATTGCGAAGGACATAATATATTTAGAGCTCAAGTCCGATTTAATGCGACATTTTCAACAAAGAGTTACAGAGGTCGGATGGATGAAGTTGGTTATTTGCTTCCCCATGTTGAGGGTAGTGTTATGATGCTACCTTACTACAATTGCACCAGCACTCCCATGACTCTGGTCGATCTATCTTGAATATTGGGAGAGCATCTCGAGTATCTCATTATTATCCCTCCGTCTCTTTCCAGAATTCTTCTTTCTGTAATTCCAGGTTTCCTCCTCATGCCCCGTCATTTTGTTGGACATTTCATAAGACTCAGGCATATACACTTGCTCTGTAGAAAGATCCCGAGAAACTTATGACATCTTTCAGTATGTTATAGGTACAATCCACGATAAGGAAGCACGTAGATTCGTCGAAGGTTTAGAGGTAGATAGATGCTGGATATCTACATATGTACCCAAATTTTGGGTACATATGAGCGCTTGACCTCACCGTAGGTCTCAATAGCAAACTGAGAAACCTGATGAATTTTTCTCGCAAACTCGTGCTGGATGTGCCAAAGTGGATCTGCAAATTTGTCAGGATCGAGTGACGAAATATATAAAACTGTGAATATCGTCACTGATAACTCACTTCTGTTATTGGCACTATGGCTCCATTCTGGTTTACTCTATTATTATGTGCTCAAGGTTCCTGACCATGTCCAATCCATTACGTGTTATGCAGTAGTCAATATTTCGTGTTTGGTAGTTAACCTGAAAGAGTAACATTCGGAGGAGCAAACTTAAACATGTCAAGATGGAAACTAAGCGAAAGGCAAAGGTGTCAACAATCGTACACCAAACTCAATCTTTTTGTAGTTTTAGCTGGACCAGTGCTGCATTGGATTGAAACCTTATAAACAGACAGCAATGAACATGGACACTCACATATGTACCCAAAAATTTTGTGTTTCTCCTGCAAGGGGAGAATAGTGCGGAGTGGCCGAAGGCTTCACGAGCTTGGCGGAGATCGAAATACCAGCGAGTGGTAGGGCCAGCCGGCCTATTGACATGCCAGACACACATGCAACACCCAGCGGTCCTGCTGCAATATCGCCAGATGCTGTAGTTGGGTGCATACACGTTCACGTTAGTGCCATTTTAGTTGGAAGCGATGATCTCACTTATTCAAAAACTTGGCGAATGATTTTAAATTTATTTGCTTAACTTTTCATTTGTTCTGATGAAAAGTGCATCTACGGATTGTGCGCGATGGATGAGGGGGGTGCTCTTCCAAGGTCACACGTTTAAATGGTTATTTGGATTCTCTTTAACCAGTTCCTTGTTGCGAACAAACTTCCCTTAGCATATATGGGGCATTGGAATTCTTAGGTACCCCGAGAGGCGTAGGCTGGCACATAAATATTGGATATTGTGTTGAAGACGAAAGATATGTCGAGTTTTGTTCTCCAAATCCAACTTGGACTAGGGTGGAGAAATACATGAAGTGCGGATTTGCTTTCCCCAACGGACTAAGCTGTTCTTACTCATCGTAATCCAGCTGTGAGAGAATCCGCATGCATCAACCTTGTTGCTTATTCGAGGAAATATAAGCATCATACTTTTTAATTCGAGTAAGAATGAATATGTTACACCACATACCCTCTGAAGCACATGTCATTCTCATCAGAATGTGCCCGGTTCAGGCTGCTTGGAAGGTGGTGACTGATGCATGCAAGCGAAATCAATTTGTACAATCGCAAAATGTAGGTCAGAAAAATGTGTTACGGCTTGTAACCTCTATCATCTCACTCAATGGCTTGTCCCAATCCCGGCAATCCGCACTCATCTAAAGAATGTGACTGAACCCTTATTCTTACCCTATCCATGGATAATAGCGATGTTGAACATCGTCAATTCATAAAACGCTACAGCCCGATTCAAAAAATTAGCTAGCCTATGTGCCGCCAATTTGAGCTCTTCAAGCTCAAATAAGCACTAGATATGAGCTCATGAACTCCTGAACATCCTTATTTGGATTTCACAATAGTACAAGAATATCTCTTGAAAAGTGAATAGTCCAAAACATTCTATAACTTACAAAAGAAATTATTTCAATCCAATTAACAAGCACAGCCTCCTGGTTTACCCTCCGTCTGTGTATTTAACGTAGGTTTAAGATTAACATCAACAAGGTCATCCTTGTGAGAAGACATAGTCTCCATTCCAGGCAACGCAGCAGCAATTTTTCGAAACAGTGCCTGCATGTGATGTTCCAAAATGAGATGCCTGGTGGAATTACACTGAGCAGACCTAGCTCATTTTTATGCCCAAAGAAAGACAAGCTAGCGAGTTAAACTTGCATCAGATGCACAATTCCATCTACTCAAAAATTGTAAATTACCTCCTCGGAATATAAAATCTGTACAAATACACAGTTCAAGCCGGAAAGAGATTTACCTTGATGTTAAAACCTGCTTTTGAACTTGTCTCAATGAACATGACTCCAAATTCCTTAGCTTTAGCGTCACCTTCTTCAATAGACACTTGACTGAAACAGACAAAAAGACATGCAATCTTCTCATCCACAAGGCTTCCCGCAGGATACATCAAGTTGTGAAAAAATAAAGAAGAGCGTGCGAGTCTACGAACTCTGTTCTGGTGGCTATTACGTCAAGATATAGAATAACGTCTACTCAGAAAACAGCCAGTATTAGCTTGTACCATAGTTTCCTCACCGTTTATCAACAAGATCAGTCTTATTTCCGACGAGCATAATAATAACATCACTTCCACGCTCTGTTCGGACTTCTTCAACCCACCGAGCTGTATTCATAAACGATTGCCGATCTGTTCACATTAACATATGTTAGCATGAATGTCATCCGCTGCGTTAAGTTCAAGAATAGCAGAACCGTGCAAATGCACAGCACCTGAAATTTCTCTTGCTTGCAAAGTAGCGACACTTTTGATACACCAGTAGAGGCCATCCTTCTAACAAATCTTACGCAACAACTCAAGTGTAAAGACACAGTGCTCTTGGGTAAGAAAATCAAACAAATACTTACTGGAAACATCATAGACAACCACTGCCACGGACGAATCCCGGATGTAGCTGGGAATCAAACTCCTAAACCTCTCCTGTCCAGCAGTGTCCCTGCGCAACACGTCCAAATTCTGATAAATCAAACGCGACGGTTTCTAAACCGATACTTGTAATGTAAAGCAGACAACAAAGACAAACAGCAACTTAAATTGCCCTGCAAGGAAGAGAATAACTGATTTACTGGTGCAAATAAACTCAATTGTCATGCAATATGGACGTCTGAACGCCTTTACCAGAGCTGTAGTCTAACAGTGCGATCCTCAAGATACATGGTCTTGGAGAGAAAATCAATACCAATAGTTGCCTGCCAAAGTTATCAAGGGAAAACTCATCAATAGCACCAACCTTGAACCTGCCAGGACAGGTTCTTACTAGAAAAAACAAAAAGAATGAAACCATCCAGAGTATGGAGTTATTGATGTACGGCAAACCAGAAATGTCAGCAGCACACAATTTTTATGCAAGAAGACTAGGAGGGAAAGAAGCTAACCTGGTACGTGTTGTCAAATTTGTCATACATGAATCGCGTGATGATACTTGTTTTACCTGGCAATGCCACTCAAATTTAGATCTTTTACTCACGAAATGTGATTAGAGATTGTGAGAAAATGCCCCCCATACACATTAAATCACCGCGTCAGAGAGAGGGAATAGAACTTGCCCACTGACTGGTCACCCAGAAACACCAACTTGTATTTGGCCAGAGGCGATACTGTCGCGGTTTGCGACCCCGCCCCCATAGAACCCATCTGGACTCGTTCCCTCAGATCCCCTCTACTACTTGGTACCACCAGTGCCTTCACTTCTAACCTTGTGACGTTGTCCCCTTTCGAAGCTAAAAGATTCTACCTCTCGTCACCCTTCACCACATTCTCCAACCAGGATCGTCAGCATTAAGAGAACCCCAAGTCTCAAAAAACCCCGAAAAAAAAACAAAACAAAACAAAACAGCTTAGGGTTAGCCCCCTTCCTCCGAATGCAACTCAAAACCTCAATGAAAAGCCCCTAAAACCAGAACTCTGGATCCGAAAACAAAAAACCATCAAACTAGATTCCCACGGACTGAACCAACCACCGAACCATACCTCGTCACTTCAAAACCGTGACGAGAAAAACGCACGCCCGATATGTTCTCAACAAACGCCCTCTCTTTCTTTCTCTCTCTTTCTGTCTGTGTCGCTGTGCCTCGAGGGCAACACCAGAATGCCCCACTAAGTGGCAAACAATACCACCAACACCTGGCTCCGAAAAATCCGAAGTGACCCCGTCGTAGAATGTGATTGCATCTGATTGATTAATTCCAGCAGCAGCAGTTGGAGGTAGGTGTGTTACTCGACGTGGCCCGCGGTGAGATCGATGACGGCAGCAACATGGATGATTATGAAAATGGAAGCAGAAGAAGAAGACGACGAAGAAACGAGGAGAAAAAAACGAGTAAAGAGGGGATTGCTTTTCTCCGCAATCTTCTTTCTCGGAGCAATCCTCTTCGTTGATTTTGCCTTATTCTTCTCCTCCTATAATGTTGTTGTTGTTTTGCTTTATGTACATTTTAGAATTGTTTACTAAAAATAATAAGTTAATTTAATCCATGTCTTAAAAAATTGCCAAAAATACACACTATCTGTTCAATTAAACAAGTTGTATTTTTGTGCATTTGCAAATGATGAAGCAATGAGACTTTTACATACTTAGAGAATTGGCATAGATACAAATTAATTTTTTGGTGTCTTTTTTATTATTATTATTATTAGTAGTAGGAATGATCTTTTAAACAAAATTTTATAAAAATTAGTTTTAGATTTTGGTGCATTGGATAAATTAATTATTATAAACCAAAGAGGTGATTAGATGGCTAAAGAAAAGGTGTACATTAAGTCTTTACTTGTTTGATAGAACAAGCCTTATAATACCTTTCATAAGAGCTCGCTCAAGGATACTTATAGTAATCAATATACATTTTTTTCTATCATCATATTTATAGTGTTGATGTTAAAATTTTGATATATTTAAATGATAAACATCAACACTATAACAATTAAGTATATCAAAATTAACCTAAATATTATTTTATAACAAACAAATCATTATAAAATTATATATTAGATTAGAAGGTAATTCACTATAGTTTGATAACATTATTATGAAAAATCATAGAGCCATGCTTAATTACATTGAAAGTAACACTTTATGTAACAAATAATGTATGTATTATATATCTTGTTATTATATTTATGGTAGATTTTACTAAAAAAATTATTAGACATTAAAAGAATACTATCACAAATGTGGTTGCAAAAATATTTCCTTTAATTTATATAGAATTACTCTAATTTTTTTGTTTTGTTTTTGTTTTGCTTAATGCACTAAATGAATTTGAGTGTTAAAAGTTATTCTGCAAATTTTGAAATAGTTTGCAACATAGAATATGAACTTACAAAAACTTAACACTTAAGTATTCAATGCTCATACTGAAAACCCTCTTTCTGAAAGCACCACAAACTGACAGGAGTAGCAAATGGCTGCATGAATTATTAATCTACTATTACAAAGCATGAATAATGTGGCTTTAAGACGTAACTACCTCCGTGGTCATGCACCACTTCATTATACATTGCAAGCTCTTTTGCAATGCTCGACCATAGTCGCCTAACCATGAAAGATCAGGCCTGGATGTAAAACATTGTCGGTAGAACACAGCAATACCATGCAAACCTCAAAAAGGGGATTGCATGCACTGAAACTTAAAAACAATTCGTGTTTACGAATAACAGTAGTGGTTCCTGTCCTCAGACAGCGGCGTATCTGATTGTGATGGTGCCCTTGTCCAGGTTAGCGATGGCTCTGAAAGCTTGAAGTGAGAGGTCGAAAGCCCGTCCTCCAGAGCAGCCGTTAGGACAACGATCCCACAACTTTACAATATTTCCACTTCAATGGAGAAGTATTAATGAGAGTAAATAATAAATTAGGCATGCAATCATTTGAACTTTTTTGGAGTCAAGGCTTTTGTAAAGATGTCGACAACATTTGCATTTGTAGAAATGTAGTCAATTTGTAAAATATGATTTTCAATTTTTTCTGTAAGCATGTGATACTTAATATCAACATTCTTGGTTTGAGAATGGAATTTTGGATTCATTGCAAGTCAAATGAAACTTTGAGAGTTTGAATATAAAATGGTTACTTGTTGTTGAAGAAAATCAAGATCTATTAAGAGACAATATCACTAAATAATTTCTTTAGTGGTCATATGACAAGCTATGTATTCTAAATAGGTAGTGCTATCAACCAAACATGCTTGTTTCTTTGAGCCGCAACTAATGGATTGACCATGTAAAAAAATAAAAAATAAAAATAACCACTTCTAGATTTATTATCATCAAGATTGGCAACATAATCAATATTGGCAAAAGCAATTAATACAATTGAAGAAATAGTCTTCTTATAGACAAGTCTAAAATTGATAGTTGATTGAAGATAATAAAAAACCTTTTTTATTGCATTACAATGAATTTAGATAAAATGGGATTTGAAGCAAGCTATATTACTAAAAGAATATGTTATATCAAGTTTTGTACTTATGGATGCAAATTGGAGCTATCCATAGTATTGAAAAAAAGAAAATAAAATAAAATAATTGTATTAGTTTTGGTAGAATCAAAGCTTTTGTAAAGATGAATTTTAGTCAATTGGGATAGATATTGATGAAGAATCATGAAATTCATATTCATGTAAAATTTGCTCAATATATGCTCTTTGATAAATGAAAATTAGCCTCAATGCTTGATTGCATACAATTTGCACCTCCACATATAGATTAAAATCATTAACTTTTGTTTCAAAAATATCATTCATAGTTATTAACATATAGTCGATGCAATGAACATCTTAATAAAACATAAGCTCTTATCAACAAACATGAGGATTATCAACTTCAAAGTTGTATTAGAGTAATATACATAAAAATTTGTCAAATTTTGTATTAATTGATGAGTAGTTAAAAACATGGTGATATAGTCATTTTAGGCTCTATTGGCTTGTTTTAAACCATATTATGCTTTATTAAGTTGGTAAACCTTGTGTAGATATTATTGATCTTTAAAATCCAAGACTTGCTTCATATAAGTTTCAACTTGAAGTTGGCCATGTAGAAAGGCTATTTTAATATTTAATTGCTAAATTGCTATATCTTCTTGTATTATGATAGCAAAGACCAAACAAATAGAATTATATTTAAAAATTGGAAAGTATATTTTTTTAAAGTCCATGCCAAACTTCTATGACCATCTGTTTGCCACTGACTACACTTTAAAGTGATCTATACTCCCATCTAGTTTTAATTTTAATGCATCAATCTATTTATAATTGATTGTTTTTGGATGAATAATAAGTCTATTAAATTTCATGCATGATTAGTTATAAGTGATTTGTATTTATGATTCATAACAACCTTTTATTGTGATAAGAAGAGTTTAGGGGTTTGGAGTAAGACTATGGAATTATAAGAAGAGACTAAATTAAAGAAGATAATAAAGTTAAAAAATTCAAGGATAATGGCATAGTAAGTATAGAGTTTTTTGAAGTGCAGTGCCAATCTTCTTCAATGTATCCAAAATTGGTCTAGAAGCTTTTGGTGTTGTTGTATATATAGAACAAAAGATTGAAATTGATTATTTTTGGATTGAATGAATAATGTAGTAGAAGTAGATAGACTAGATTGTTGATCAAGTTATTATTTGTAATTGAATTAATGATTAGAGTTAATTTAAAAGCTAGAATTATGAAAATATATATATATATATATATATATATATATATATATATATATATAAATTTTGAGAATATTTATAGTGTTAAAATTAAAATTAGAATATATTGAAGTTAGATGAGACGATTGAGATTAGTATAAAAAATGGTCTTGAATTGAGATTTAAATTATGATTTGAAAAAATTATTTGTAGCAAAAAAATATGTTATAAAATATTGAATGGAACTTCTATTAATATAAAGCTAGGATGGAAAATACTAGAAGGCACAATAGTATTCAAAAGCTTATTCTTAGAAAACATTATATTTGTAAGTAAAATACTTGGAAACAAAATATTGCAAGGGTCTTAAGTATAATTGATAATAATATTTTTTTATGAATTGAAAATTATCAATTAATAATTGATAATAATATTTTTATGAATTATAAATTATCAATTAATAAAAAAATATTATTATCAATTAATAATTCAAAGATGTATTTATAGAATAATTTTGTTTATTTAAGAATATGTCTTAATTGATAATAATATTTTTTTATGTTTAAATTCTATAAGTGATATCCTTTAGATTCATCAAAATAGCAAAGATAGAATGTAATTTGATCCTTGGCATTAAGCTTTTATCAAAGTTTATTTGGTATATGAGGATAGACTTTATATCCAAAAGGTTGCATGTAAATAAAATAAGGTTTCTTTCCTATATAAGCGACAAAGGAAGTAATAGTAGAAAGAATTTTAGAACAAGTTTTGTTTAATGTATAAACAATGTTATCAACTGCTTTAGTCTAAAAACCAAGATCAAGGTTTATATGATAAATTGAACTTCTGACAGCTTCTATAATAGTGCAATTATCTCTCTTAAAAACATCATTTTGTTCTAGAGTATACAAAAAAATAAGTTCATGTTTAATACCTTTTGCTTATAGATAATCAAAAAAATATTTGTTGCAATATTTGCCTTTATTGTTGATTTGTAAGATAAGAAATTTGTAGCCAATATCTCAATAAATGATTTTACATAATTGTTGAAAATAAATAAATAATTTTGATTTAAAAAAAATATAGAATATAAATTCATAATGAATATAATCGTTTTGAAATAAGATATAATATAAAGACTCACTATTAGATGGCGCACTCATGGGGCCACAAATATCACTATAAAAAAATATACTAAGTAAAAAAACTTCAATTTGTGTAACATTCAGTGGCAAAGTTGCTCTATGAAATTTTTCAAATGTGAAACCAAAGAAAATGCTAGGAAGATTATTATTTTTGAGTATAATACTTAAAAATTAATCCATTTGTAGCCATATGTTGGATCATGTCATAATATAAATATCCAAGTTATAAATGCCATATATTTATATTTTATAATTTTTTTATTGATGATATATTACTATAAATAGTTTCATAAAAAAATAATAGCTAGATATAATAGAACAATAAAGTCAAGAATATATGAACCTTCTCGGATTTGGCCAATTATAATGAGTTGATTGTTTTAAATAAGCTCATATATATAGATTTTATAAATAATAAAAATATTACATTTTCTTGCCACTTTTATAAGACTAAATAAATTTTGACTAAAATTAGATATATAAAG